GGTAGAAAGTGGAGCTATCTGGTTGTAGTTTTGTTACGCTCAGTCCTCGGCAACAGGCTACCCCTGAAAAAGTAGGTTCACCCCTTAGGAGGAATGACAAAAAGTTAAGATTAGTCAGTAGCACAACACATTGTCGAAACAGATGATGAACAACTATTCTACCATGGGAGATAAATGATCTTATTATTGTCCAGTTCAAGAGAGAAATAGGTTACAGAGACTTTTGTAAAGAAAAGCACCCGTTTCACCTGACGTCCCATTGATTACGATCTCCTCGAGCGAGAGCCAGTGAAGCCTCCATTCGTACTTGTCGCGAGCCCGGATGGCCCAGTGAATCGCTCTTGCTTGAGGAACACGAGGCACAGCATTCCTTTCGTTCGAAGCTTTCGGGAAGAAGTCTGACCACACACTGATTGCCGTCCTAGCGTTCATTTGTCGTCCCGAGGAATTCAGGGGAAAACCGCACTGATTCAACGGTTATTACGATATCACATAACGTAACCGGCCCACTGAACTTCAATTTATTTCCGTAAGCAACAGCATCCTCGAAAGATTCGGAAAATATCACAAAAATTAATACCCATCTCCACTTTTTTGTCACTGTAGAATTCTATAGCCTGATTTCATTTCAGGACATCTGCAGTGGAGGTGCGCCGCAGGCCCGCAAAGAGGGACGGTGAGTATATTGTGATAACATCCACTCGCTACTTACAGAGTGCGAGACCCGAGAAAGAACGAGTTCCACCAGGCGGTTAACGTCTTGTAGGAATTTTGTGGAAGTCGAAAAAGGCAAATTTCCAGCTCGCTGAACCAGACTATTTCGTTGGGTGGCCTAATGACTACTAGTCTAGGCTTCTCATGAAAACCCAATTGTTTTGATTCGAGTTGAATAGTCGACATCGGGCAATGCAAATGAGTTTAAACCTGTATCCAACCTTATCCAATGTTTACGTATTTGTAACCTATTTGCACAGCCATCTGTAAAGACGGAGGGAAATGTTGCAGATGCGCCGACGAGACGCCAAACCCCTTCGCGGACCAGGAGGACCACAACCCGGAAGTCAGTGAAAACAAGTAGGTGTTGAATTTGGATTTTCATGTGCAGGATGCGGTATCTATACTCATTTCATCACACAAATTTTTTAAGAACCACATTTTCAGATGCCAAGCATCAGTATATTTCCCTTGAGTCAGTTCAGAAAGAAAGTGTTCGGCCTTTTTCAAAGTTTTTTCGTCTACTCTTTAAACATTGTTTAAAGGAACAGTTCACATTGGAAATGGTTATAGAGATTCCTCCCTTGGATGAACCTAGCCATGATCATGGACCTCCAAGGATAGTTTAAGAGATGTCGTCGGGTTGAAAAACAGCTAACATAGGGCATAATAAGGGCCCTAAAGCGGACACGTGCACATCCAAGGCGGACGAGTTCTTAGGCGATGTGAAAGCTGTGGTGGTTGCACTGTCGCACCGGGACCCACACCTTGCACGCAGCCAACTTGCTGTAGCCAGCTGTATGCGGTAGCGCGCACATTTGAACAACTCGTCCAAATACCCCCTCCATGCAACCCCTGCAGTCACATTCTCGTCTAACTCCCCATTTTACTTCATTTTTGAAGCCTTCTATTTCTCTGAACTCACCGGTTTCCAAGTTTTCTTCGCCGTTTTTGCACTAAACTAGACTATCACTTCATTTACTCGTTTAATACTACACGTAAACCCCAAAATCAACGTGAACTGTGTCTTTCGAAGACATTTTCCGTAGCTCTTGGGTTTTATATTTATCGGAAAAATTCTACATTTCATGCCATTTAGAATTCAAGGTTACAATAGTTGCATCAGAAATACAAGGGAGTGGAAATGTCGGCGAGGACTTTGAAAAAATAAGTCTTATAGTAGACCCAACATCGAAAACTCACAACTCAGCCTTAAAATACCTGCAAAGTGGGGTAAAGAAGACAACACAATAGAATTTATGTAACATAATAAGTATGTAAGTGATATGAAACTTCACATGTTTTAGCCGCGCCAAAATCTAGAAAAAAGGCATCTACCCGGCAAGCCAGCAAAGCAAAAAGACCTGCAGCCAAAAGTTGGTATTCGTCCTCACCTTTATTTCCATGCTGTATATGCACTTTTGATTGTTATGAATGCTTTAGGCACAACCAAACGAAGAAGCCAGCCGTCGAACAGAGGGAGAAAGTCATCAAAAAAGGGTAGGCACTGGTCCTCACCTTCATTTCCAGCGTACGGTACTTACACTTTTGGTCTCTTCTAAAAACCTACTGTATCTGGGTCTAACCGAAATTCATTGGCCCTCAGGATTTTAATAATTTCATATCATTAAATGCCATATTAAACAGACCTCTTCCGAGTGGAACAGAAATTTAAGGGAAAGGAACTGTGTGTGGGGAACTTGAAAAGTAAATTAGATACCGAATTCGTATGGAGACAACGAAATATTAGCATGGAATCATCTTCAGAAGGTCATAGCCGTAACAAGAATCTACGTAAATTTTCCACATTAGAGTATATACTGCTTTCACTTTTACGCCTATGTATGCGGTGGCAGGAGGGGGACGGAACATTCACCCAAAACTGAATGGACGCGGCAAATGGCGCGGCGAGATTCATGGCGTTTAGGACAACTTTGGCACCTATCTTTGCGGCGCAAACTTGAAGTAGAGTAGATTAGTATGGTCAGCTGATCCTACCAATCTACTCAACTTCAAATTTTGGCCCGAATGGTAGGCGCTAAAGTCGTTTAAATCGCCGCGAATTCCGCCGCGCGAACTGCTGCGTCCATCCAGTTCTGGGTGAATGTACCCATACCTGTGGCAGGAACAGCTGCTACGTATGTAGTTGTGGGAGGTTCTTCCGTGCTAATTAGGTAGATTTGAGGATCTTGCAGCCTTCAGTCTCCACATCGTCGACCCTGAATCGAACACCTTTCAGACCCACTATTACGTTTTCATAGAGAAATAGGTAACGGCGGTTAAAGGGAAGGGTTGACTTCAGCGTAGACACCCTAAAGCTAACATTCGCTCACCCTAACCACTCGATCAAAGGCGCTACCGTCTCAACTGTCTTCTATAATCCTACGACGTCTCTGGCTGTCCCTCGATCATTGGCTTAACACCGGGATACGGGCAGTAGGATCGCTTTTGAATAATCGATTTGCCGCGCGAGGCAGTCGCGCACCATTTGCCTCGTTATTACAGTTTTAGCGCTTTTCATACAGCTCAATCCCTATGCAGTCATTATTTTTGGCATAAATCTAATGTTAGTTATGTTTTTCCTGTATTTCTGACTAGCTGCTGCATTCTGCTACAGTACTTCGCGCGCGGCGCCTCTCTCGCCGCAATGCGACGATTTCGATCCTATGGCACCACACCCGAGATTCACTGAAATTCTACCGTTTAGAATCAAAATACTCTAATTAGCAGAAAGAGGTAATGAGGCCGTCATTGTGAAAGAGGGAAGAACATAAATAGGAAGGGAGCCAACAAGGAGTAATTTATTCATATTAGCTACATTAGAGGCGGTTTCGAGTTGAGACTTCACAACACTTTTCTGTGATGGTTGTGGCTTCTCATACCTGAACGGCATGCCACGCTCCCCTCACCCCTGTTGCGGGCTTTGAATATGAAAAGTTGAATTACTAGTGGAAGTTACGGTAACTGCCGCTTGCTGTAGAAATTTGGTTACAAGTAGTACCCTATTACTCCAATCACTAGGAAGGAAAGAAAAGGAGTGGTCAACAGAGCAGCAGTGCTAGGATACCCTTATTGGGCACAGCTAGTACAGGAGCAGTTTCTGAATCCAAAATTCTCAGCACCCAATCAGTATTAGAATATTCGCAAAAAAAGGGAAAAAGAATAGGTATCAGTATAAGACATACATGTGTATTTTACTAGGATAGAATACGCTGTAGTTCTACTTTCAGCGGATGTACGTCCGAAAAAGAGCGTTCATTCCATGGTGACAAGAAGCAAATCAAAAAATAAAAAGTTTGGTAGGTAACTGTGTTCATTTTTATTGACAGGTAGTGTATGTAGTCTGCACCGAAACAACATTCCTGAAGTATGTCGAGTTTTCGTAATTTAATAGAAAATGGCAAAGTAAGGGCGATTGTGACTTCAGTATGTCTACTCCTTGCGTTTCGAGGACCACACGACATTACAAGACTCACTGAAGTATCGCGAGAGGTTCACCGACTTGTAAAAAGACTTTGATACCGTCGAGACAGAAGCGGTAATCGAATCCCGAGGTAGCCAGGGTGTTCTTATCCAATATATACGGATGCTTCGTGAGCTCTACAACAACTTCACAACCAGGATCTCGCCATTCTATAAAGCAGACATCATCAACGTGAAGAGAGGGGTTCAACAGGTTGATACCATTTCGCATAAACTTCTCATTACCGCTCCCGAGAACATCATGCGAACATCAAAACCGAAAATCGAGCAGGCGGAACAAATGCTAGCCGATTCCGACAACGCTTGTGGAAGGATCGGCTTGAGACTGAACTCAAAAAAGATGTTCATGAAGAAGGTTTACTATCTGTTGCTCCCTTCACGCTGAACGGAATGAATGTCTCTGAATGCTCTATATATGTGTATCTGGGTGAATTCAATATGTGAACGACCTTGCACCGGAGCTGAGCAAAAGTAAACGGCCAGGCGTGGGGAGCATTTAACCCTTTGACGACAGCGCGGCTCAACGGTGAGCCACGGTTTTTTGGGCGCGTGGGACAGCGCGGCTCAACGGTGGACCGCACCCTTCTCATTGGTTGTTTTTCTCCATTATCAGTTTTACTTCGCGTTTTTTGTATTCAATGGGTTTGCAATCATCAAATAACTCTATACACAAAGTGGGCCAAGAAAACATTGCTAATTACTGAAAATTACGAATAAAGTCCATTCTCTCCCTGGAAATCACACTTTTTCTGCATTTTTGAAAACAGTGTATGTAAAAATGACTTCCACATCTACTGCCCCTATTATGTACTGGTCTTGTGGGAGCGTAAACACTTCGATAAGCTCGAGCTAGTTGTTTGTAACAAATTTCTCAACAAGTTGCCCTCTTTTTAACTGCCTATCTTCAACTTAATTAGTATTCCTTTTCGCATTTTCGAGTGTCGGAAAAAGGGTGCTATGTTCCAATAAGACATAGACAAGATATCGGTATAGAGATGTATCCTTGTTTCAAAAGTCCGTCCATTAGTCATGACCACAGCAAACACAGCTGCTGAATCCTTGCTCGTGGGCTGACTACCGATGTAAATCTTGAATCTGAATCTTGAGCAAATCGTAGCCCCCATATGTACACCTTCAAAACATAGCTTGGAAAGTTTTATTCTTCAATATTACTTTCGTCGGGTTCGGCCAATAACCTTTCAAAACCACCCTCTAAATCGTCCAGTGCAGGCTGATAAATTTCGGCTCTCAGAGCTATATTATGCATAAAACCAAACCCAACTAAAGTTAAAAACTCATAATTACCAAATTTACACCTATTTCAAACTAATCATAAAAAGAACGCATGAAAAAGCAAAAAAAACATTCACTTTAGAAAAATGTGTAACCCGTGGGACAGCGCGGCTCAACGGTGAGCCGCGGAA